CTGTCAATGTAGTTGCCGTCAGACCGTGTTATTGACGCCATTTCCTTGTTCTGACATCTGGCAAAGATTTTCAACTCACAACAATACAAGTTTCATACAACAGTATAGTTTGTAATAGCGTTGAACATGTCGAATTTTGTGCTGGAAACTACGATTTGCGGACAGCATTGATTTTCTGTTACCATTTGAAGAAAACTGCTGCAGAATCACATCGAATGCTTGTCGAAGCTTACGGTAAGCATGCTCTTGATAAATCACAGTGCTTTGAGTGGTTTAAAAATTTCAAAAGTGGCGATTTTGACGTGAGAAACGAAGAACGTGGAAAACCACCGAAAAAATTTGAAGATATAAAATATATAAAATGTGACACGAGAAGCTATCTCCATACGTTTGAAATCCATGGGAAAGATCCAGAAGAAAATGGGTTCCACATGAACTGAATGAAAGACAGCCAGGAAAACCGAAAAACCACTTGCGAAATGCTGCTCGCCAGGTACAAAAGAAAGTCATTTCTCCATCGAATTGTGACTGGCGATGAAAAGGATATATTTTGAGAATCCTAAGCGTAAAAGATCATGGGTAACTCCAGGCGAACCATCGACATTGACTGCAAGGCCAAATCGCTATGGACGGAAGACAATGCTCTGTGTTTGGTGGGAACAGAAAGGTGTGATCTATTATGAGCTGCTAAAACCTGGCGAAACCATTAATACTGAACGCTACCGAAACAACAAATGATCAATTTAAATCAAGCGTGAAAAACGACCGGAATATCAAAAAAGGCAACACAAAGTGATTTTGCTTCATGATAATGCACCATCACACACAGCAAAACTGGTGAAGGAAACGATTGAGGCGTTTGGTTGGGAAATACTTTCGCATGTGGCTTACTCACCAGACTTGGCTCCGTCCGATTACTACTTATTTGCATCGATGGAACACGCACTTGCTCAGTAGCGCTTCACTTCTTACGAAGATGTACGAAAATGGCTAGATGACAGGTTTGACTCAAAAGAGCAACAATTTTTTTGGCGTGGCATCCACAAATTGTCAGACAGAGAAAAATGTATAGCTGCCGATGGGCAATACTTCGAATAAAATATTTTTTATCATTTTCATGCAATAAACGTGTATTTTCTATTTAAAAATTCCGGTTTCACATTTACATACCTGGTAGTTATATATACTGTGGTTATATTTTGTACGACATTGTTATTGGTTTTGTACTTTCTTCTTTCAATTTTATAGAGACTGAAAAAGATATATAATATACTACATGGGCTGAAAGGCCCGGGATTTTTCAATAGGTGGCGCCACTAGAAAATGAACCTGTCTCATTTCGAGAGGCTCATCTGTCACTAGTTTATGTATGAAGTTTCATGACATTTCGTCCATTCGTTTACAAGCTACAATCGTTTGAGTGACGCTACTTTCGCCTTCGTAAAAAAAATGGAAAAACAGGAATATCGCATTTTGATCAAACATTGTTTTTTGATGGGAAAAACTTCTGAACAATCATTGCAGTGGTTGCAGAAATGTTATCCCACATCTGCTCCTTCGAGAACAACAGTTTATCGATGGTTTAGTGAATTTAAAATGGGTACAAGCACCTGGGGCCGAAGACGCACCTCGCTCTGGCCAAAAGAGGCTACGAATGCGGAATTCGTAAAGCAAGTGCATCGAATCATTTTGAGTGATCGCAAAGTGAAGTTGCGCGAGTTAGCTGAGACCGTGGACATCTCAAAAGAACGGGCGGGATACATTTTGCACGATCTTTTGGAGATAAAAAAGCTATCGGCGCGATGGGTGCCGCGTTTGCTGACTGTCGATCAAAAACAGCAGCGCGTTGATGATTTAACGGCCGGTTTGGCGTTGTTGCAGCGTAATCGAGCGGACTTTTTTCGACGTTTTGTGACGATGGATGAAACGTGGGTCCATTACCATACGCCTGAGTCCAATAGGCAGTCTGCAGAGTGGCTGGAAAGCCACGAAAGCCGACCAAAGCGGCCAAAAGACCAACGCTCGGCCGGGAAGGTTATGGCCTTCGTTTTTTGGAATGCGCATGACATAATCTTCATCAATTACCTGCAGAAGGGAAGAACAGTTACGGGAGAGTATTATGCAGCGTTATTAGACAAACCGAACGACGAAATAAAGAAAAAACGGCCCCATATGGCGAAGAAAAAAGTTCTGTACTATCACGATAACGCACCGTCACACACGTCCTTGAAAGCGATGGCCAAATTGGACCAATTACGATTCGAATTAGTTGCTCACCCACCGTATTCTCCAGACTTGGCCCCCAGCGACTATTATCTGTTCCCAAACCTC